CTACAGTGTGGATTGGAGCTGGTCCAAGTCAGAAATACTGCCAATGGGAGGCAAGATGGATTTTTCGGGTATTTAAAGCATGGCAATTTTGATATTGCCCAAATTATATTACTTATTTGGGTACAATTACCCAAAGGAATTTATCTCAGATGATTAATTTTAATATAAGTAAGCTGATAAAAGATACTGAACAAGATTTAGAGAGACAGGTGGGCTTAAAGGTGAGTCTGCGGGATAAGGTAAACATGACAAAAATGAATGTTATACCTGGAGTAGTTTATGTCATTCATGGAATTCCTCTGCTTATACCTTACAAGTATTTTCAAAAATTAAATGCACTGTTTAGGAGATTTTGTAGGGGCTCGTCTCCTCCTAGAATTTCAATGAAAAGGATGCAAATTTCTATCAAAGGGGGAGGGCGTAATTCTGCTAATACTTCCTTAACAAATATGTTTTCCACTTGTTCCTTAGTAGCTCATTTTGGGGAAGGAGTAATCACAGAAGTAATTTTGGTCTCAAAATTATCTCCTTGATGTTTAGGGATGTGCATATTTTTTTAATTATTTATTTGTTTCTTGGAAATTAACAAATGTCCAAAGGAAGTAGATTTTTTGCACCCTTTTGATTGCTAAAAGATTGAAACTTTGTTACTGGAAAGATTTTTTTCTCCACCTGTAAGACATTGAATAGAAGACCTTTGATAGCTTGCAATATTTGAAAGAATGATATGGAGACTGAATTTACAAACTGACTAACACTTGGACCTTTGGTTTGCTTTTATAGAAATGTATGACTCATGTGGCTGTTTTTCCTCCTTTTGTGTTTTTATTTTCCTGCTTTTGTAATGCTGGAACATTACTATATGTACCTGAGATCCCCTTTGGATGTAAATGGAAATTGATTTTTAAAACAATGTGTGCCTCGGCCATTTGGAAAAACAGCAAAGAGGAGTACAGAAACAGAAGGAAATGAATCCAGCAAAATGGCAGAGAGGTCTCCAGCTTCCAAGATATACACAGAGAAAAGGACATTCCACGATAGCTTTTTATAATGTGATGGACAAGTGTGGCATTGTTCTCCTATCAAGAAAAGAAGACATCAGCAAAGATGAAAGGCTCCATTCTACATTACATGGTAGGAAAATCAAAGGGATGTTTTTCTGGAAAATAAACAACAACAGCAAGACCACTTTCAAAACTTTCTTGGGTTAACATAAGAGAGAGTAAAATAAGAGTGAAATCACAGTCCACCATCTATGAGTGCATCTTTCCAAAGGCAGAGAACATATTATTTTCGTATGCTTTTAATTGTACTGTTTTTTAATACTGTAAGCCACCCTGAGTCCTGAACTTGGAAGAAGGGAAGGATGTAAATTAATATAATATAATATAATATAATTAATATAATATAATATAATAATAATAATAATAATGACAAGGTCAGCCTTATTTTTTTTTTTTCTTAAACCCACACTGCCCCACTTTATCATCCCACTCAACCCCACTGATGATCTTGGGCAAGTCACACTCTCTCAGCCTCAGTGGCAATGGCAAAGCCCCTCTGAACAAACCTTGCCAAGAAAACCTTGTGATAGGTTCACTTTAAGATTGCCATAACTCAGAAATGACTTGAAGGCACACAACAACAACTAATTTATTTTTAATGCTTATTAATTTTTAATATTCATTCTTAAAATCCTCCTTTTACAGTGAGCAAAAACACTATCAATCATTGACCAGAACAGAAACTATAGTTAAGAAAACAGTAGAAGACTAGGACTAGGAAGGGCAGCTAGGAAAGAACTAGACAAGATCCTAAAGTGCAAAGATATAAACTGAACACTAAAGTGAGGAT